CTCATTATTATTGTGTAATAGAGTAATATTACTATGTTGACCGTTCAACAAATGTAAACATAATAAAAACCCAAAATAATTAATATTACTGTGAGTGACAGTAATATTACTATAACAACAGTAATATTACCATCAACCACAGTAATATTACAATAAAAGATAGTAATATTATTACGTTACTCCATGAATAACACAAACAAACAAAAAATCCAAACAAAATAATAATATTGATGTGGTTGACAACAATATTACTATAACAACAGTAATATTACCGTCAACCACAGTAATATTATTGTGTTTACAATAATATTACAATAACAGACAGTAATATTATTACGTTACTCCGTGAATAACTCAAACAAAACAAAAAACCCAAAAAAATAATAATATTGATGTTGTTGACAGTAATATTATTGTGTTTACAGTTATTTTACTGTCAACAACAGTAATATAATTACGTTGACTTGTCAACAAATCAAACAAATTAAAAAAAACTAAAAAATAAAAAATAATAATATTACATTAATTTAGTGTCAACGGCAACACAATTACATAAATGTATTGTCAACGACAGTACAATTACGTTAATTTACTTTCATTCACAGTATAATTACGTTAATTTACTGTCAGTGACAGCACAATTACGGTCAACGTTTAGCGGCGGACGTAAAAAAAAAAAGAAAAAAAAAACAAACTTAAAAAAACACTAAAAAAGTCAACGCAGGAGACTCCCGGAAACCGGCGAAAAAATCCGGAAGAAAAGAAAAGAAAAAAGCAAAAAAAAAAAAAAATAAATAAATAAAAGTTAATGCCGGAAACCGGCGAAAAAATCCGAAAGAATTTTTTTTTTTGAAAAGTCAACGCCGGAATCCGTTTTATTATGAAAAAAAATATTTTGTGAAAAAAAAAATGTTTTGGGTCAAAATTGAATATTTTGTGAAATTTCGGGTGAAATTGAGATTAAATTAAGTTAAATGATGAAATTGGAGCATATGCAAGTATGCTCCAAAAAAAGTCAAAATTGATTTTTTGTGGTCAAAATTGGATTTTTGTGGACAAAATTGATTAAATTAGGGTTACAATTAAGAATTGGGTATAAATGGTTGAGGTAATATTGAGATATACATGAGTGTTTCTTTTATTTATAATAAATATTAAATGGATGGGCTTATTGATAAAAGAGATATAGCCCCTAAACCTAAAATAATAAATATGCTTGGTTGGGGTTTTATGCACAAGAACCGCTGTGTTAAATTGTATAATGTTGTTTTGTGTTTTGTGTTATTGTCGGTTGACGTTGTTTTGAAAATTGAGTTCATTTAATATACACCCTATAATAGAAAATACATAGGGATATGTTCATCCATAAAATTCTTTCTTTGAGATACCCCTGGAGAGACAAAAATACTATTGTGCCCTTATTTGCAGTTTTCGTCTAACTGCATTCAGCATTTTGCCAACTGCATTCAGCATAATAGCCAACTGCATTTAGGAATCTTGGAACATCATTTATCATTTTTTTAAGATTTTTTAATAAAAAATCATAAATTTTCATTTTATTATTATTTTTAATTTTTAATTTTTTATTTTAATTTTTTAAATTTTTAAATTTTATAAATTTTTTTATTTTTTTTTTAATTTTTTTTAATTTTGTTTAACTTTTAAAAAATAAATTTTCTATAAAGTTTCCTATACATGAATTGACTACAAATGACTAGAGTATATATAACAGTGTTCTATATATTGGTCGTGGCGGTCGATATCGGTGGCGGGCATAAACCTTTACGATATTTGTGTGGTAGTTTTAAAAATCGATTTTTTGACGGTGAGGCGGTCTGTGGCGGGTCAAACTTCGTGCGATATATCGAAAAAATATTTGTTTCTATTTTTTTTTATTACAAGGAAAATATGGTATTTATTTTTTATTTTTTTATTTTTTTATTTTTTTATTTTTTTATTTTTTTAAATTCCAACCTATTATCTCTTTCAATCAAACCCAAATTCACCGACCCGGTAAGAAGAACGTGGCCTAAAAAAAACACAAAAACAATCCACACACCGCGGCGGCATTCTGTATCTCACTATTGTTAAACTTTTGTTATTTGATTAGAATATATAAACAACGAGGAGAGAATCATGTTCAATTTTTTTTATACGTTTTAAGTATTTACAAATAATATTTAGAATTGTATTAAACTAAATCTAAAAACTAATTTATTTCCGATATATCTCCGATTAATCACCGCCGCGCCGATTTATCGTGTGGCGGTCCCTAACCGCCTCGGACCCGATAACCGATATTTAGAACCTTGATATATAGTCATGTACCTTATTTTTACTCCAAAGTTATATATAGTCACGTACGGGATAATTACAGTTTTGGCCTCCCAAGTTTGCACATTTTTCACTTTTGGCCCCCATTTACTGCCATCAACAAAATACACACTAATGTTGTCACATTTTAACACATTTAGTCCCTCCGTCTGTTTGACCGTCAAGAAGTAATGGTCAAATATTGAATTAGCGCTGAATTTGGGACTTTTCATAGAGAATATTGCACTCGAACCCCTGCATTTCTTCTAAAATATTCTAAAAACTCCTAAAATTTTATTCAACCCTAATTTAACCCCAATTTCATCATTTAATCAATTTTGACAAACAACCCCGATATTTACCACCATTACCACTGATCGTTGACCGCTGTTGATTTTTTTTTTACTTTGTTTTTCGGCATTGATTTTTTTTTTTAATATTTTTTTTGACGCCGTTCACCGACATTGTATTCTCAGTTAACAATGTTGACTTTTTTATTTTTCTTGATTTTTTTCGAACTTTTTCCTGTGACTTTTTTTCCGATCAACACAATTACTGTATAACGCAATAATAATACTATATTAATATCTAGTATCGTAATATTAAAATTACAAACTTCTAACAAAATGTTTCTCTAAAATTATAAGGCCTAAATACAATTTAAAAAAAAATTCTAAAATCCATAATTTCTTCCTTCAATTTTTTCTTCGTGGAACCGCCTGTGCATCCCAAATTTCTTCCCAAGAAAATATGAAGAAGATGAATTAGGCATGTACGCGAGTAATTTGGCATGAGATAACCACTCTAGTATAACGGTTTGGGGCTAACACCGGCCGTAAATTTTTATCTCTTTTTTTTGTATTAATTTTTTTCCGTTATTGATATGCGTTGACTTGTTCCTTTTTTCTTTATTTTGACTTGTTTTATGATATTATTTTCTCGCCGATTATCAGTTTTGAATTTTTTAAAAATTATATTTTTTCATTACTCAACAATTTAATAAAAATCAAGAAAAAAATGTCAATGTTGTTAACCCGACGACATTCAACATCGTCCAATAGCGACAAAAAAAGATCAATAAAAAAAAGAGTCAATCGAGTTAAAAAGAAAGTCAACGTCGGATTACCAAATTTTGAAAAATCGGGGTCAGTGGGTAAAATTGGTTAATTGATGAAATTGTGGTTAAATTATGGTTGGATAAAATTTTAGAGGTTTTTATAATATTTTGAAAGAATACAGGGGTCTTATTGCAATTTTCTCAAAGAAAAACCCTAAATTCAACCGTTGACCGTTACTACTTAAAGGTCAAACAGACGGAGGGACTAAATGTGTTAAAATGTGACAACATTAGTGTGTATTTTGTTGATGGCGATAAATGGGGGACCAAAAGTGAAAAACGTGCAAACTTGGGGACCAAAACTGTAATTATCCCAGTCATGTATCTTTTTTCTCACCCCAAAATTATATAGTTATATATAGTCGACCGAGTATGTGGACCGTTGATTATATTCAAAAAAAAATTCATCGACACCAACAACAAAAATCACAATTTAATTCTTGATATTATAAATCAACTTGTACAAATATAGTCGAAATACACAATCACATGCATATGTTCTTCAACAAAAAACAAATCATCATCATCAATCAGTACCAAACAAAAAATTGAAAAAACACAATCATCAACGTGACTACACATAAAAAAAACCAAATAGCTTCTATATATATAAAAAACCACATGCCTCCCAATCATTCTCTCAAAATCAAAACAAAACCACCAAAATTCAAACTCACTGCCACTAATTATTACGAAAAATAACTAAAAACATGTGATTGTTTACATCAAACATCATAATTTTTTCAAATTTTCTTGAGTTGTGATGGCTTCGAAATATATACATAAAATTCGTATTTTTTATCTGATTTTTATTATTTGATTTTTTTATATATGATATCAACATTAGTACATATTTTATATTATAGGTCAATAAAAACAGAGTTTGTGAACTGGGAGGATTCGATCAAAGAAATTGGAGTCAATTTTTCCATTCCAGTTTCATTTAAAAATTGGAGCTTCAATTTTAATTTTCTGAATTATTTTGTAAGAAAATTGAAATTAGTTTCACATTTTAAAAAAGAAAATAAATTGCTAATTAACTTCAATTATTTTCATCCCAAACAAAAGAACGCTCCCAAAATCATAAGTTTTATTAATAAAACTAGATGGTTATAGCCTCTCCACAAGTGATGTGTTTGATGGAGCAAGAGAGTGATATATCATTTACTCGAGTTCGAATTCCTTTTCCCTTGTCGAATTTTTTTTTTGGTCAAGTTCTCCCATGCGATTTACGAGCTATTGCACAAGGACGAATTGAAGTTTATTCGGTAAATGCACATCGACTGGTTGCAGATTGTGTTGCCAACTAAAACAATTGTTTATTTCTTCAATATATTATATTTTTACTCAACTATTTGTTGTCACTGTTAAACTAACGTCATATGATCAATTGAGAGTTAACAACTCAATAATTATCATCTTTTACTATTTGTCACTACTGTTAAACTAATTAAAGAGTGTTGTTACTAATTAATAACATTACTATATGATCAAAATTCTATCATTGATCGAGTAGATAAATTTATGATAACCATTTTGTTTTTTTGCAATAACTTTTCACTACATATAGAAGCAAATTCCTTTTTCCCTTAAGCCCTTAACAAAATTGAGCCCTAGTAAATGATGGCAAACACTATACCAATTTCCTTCTGCCTTTTCACCCTTATTTCCATTATTATCCAATTTGCCATTGGAAATGCACAACCTTCATGCAATGGTCTGTGCCAAACCCTAAATGACTGCGCCGGTCAATTAATATGCAGCAACGGTAAATGCAACGATGACCCTCGTGTTGGATCTCATGTCTGCAGCGGCAGTGGTGGTGGCAGTGGCGGTGGTGGCGGAGGAGGAGGTCAATGCCGCCCGTCAGGCACCCTACACTGTCGCGGAAAATCTTATCCTCAGTACTCGTGTTCTCCCGTCGTCTCCTCCTCGACACCAGCCAAACTCACCTTGAATGATTTCAGTGAGGGTGGGGATGGCGGAGGGCCATCCGAGTGCGACAATAAGTACCATAGTAAATCCGAAAGAGTTGTTGCATTATCGACTGGATGGTACTCTCTCCGTTTCAAATTAACATTCAGAAAGTCATTAATTTTTTTCAGAATAAATATACTACAAAGACTAGAATACCCTTTATCATTAAACGATCTCATAAGCAAGAGCTAATGTGTGAGAACAATGAATTGACTAATTAAGAATATTTAATTGCATTTTAAGCATCACGCGCTGCAATTTGTAAAAGTAACAAGATAATATGAAACAATTTAATTTTGTTAAAACGGAGTGAGTGCAATTAAATTAATGGCAAATAAATATATTAGGTTATTTATATTGATTTCGCTAGTGTTGAGTAACTCGATTTAATTCTATATTTTGTGTCGGAATTTCGTTAGGTACAATGGCGGATCGAGATGCGGTAAAATGATACGTATAGTTGCGAGAAACGGGAGGAGTACGACGGCAAAAGTAGTGGATGAGTGTGACTTGAGGAATGGGTGTGACAAAGAACACGCTGGTCAGCCACCGTGTCTTAACAATATCGTTGATGGTTCCGACGCTGTCTGGAAAGCCTTAGGACTCGACGAGGACATCGGTGTTGTGCCTGTCACTTGGTCCATGGCTTGATTCCTACTACTTAATTAGCTAGTGAACTATATATGTTGTTCCTTTGTGCTTGTCCTCTTTTACTTATTAGCAAAATAAATAAAAAAGATGAGACCTCATTATAAATAAATATCGGTATTATTATTTATTAATTATAATTACTTGGCCTTATTTAAATGGATTTATGCATGATACGGTCGTTTAATATAAAGTTTAATTTAAGAATTTGGAGTCTTGGACGGTAAATAATCTAATTCGCAGGGTTGGTCCAGCATATTTGCGGTTCCGGAGTCAGAATATGAATTGTACGATTATAATATAGGAATCCGGGGGCAATGCACGATTTTTTCTCCTTTTTTTGTGCAATATAAATAAATCATTTATTAATCAAAACCTCATACATAGAAGATTGAAAATATTAATGTATATCTACATAAGTAAATATGTGAAGCAAATGTTAGAAAAATATGTAATTAATTTATATTTGATAAACAAAATTACATCTAGTTTGAAATAATTTTTTTAAATAATAACAGAAGAATAAAAAAAATTGAAAAAAAAGGAGAATATTTTTTTTAATCAATAAAAAAATATTTTTTGCGTATAAAAATATATAATGTATAGATAAAAGATGAAAATTTGGGCCCATTTAGGAAATTGGGCCCTGACCTTGAGCCATGTTCGCTCCACTCCAGGACCGGCCCTGCTAATTCGTTATTAGTCTATTTGTGATTGTACGTTCACGAGGAAGCATGTGGGTACGTAGTTCGAAACCCAAATCACGGACCCCCGGATATTTTACAAGGGGTGAGTTTCGAGATAATACAACGATGGATATATTAAAAAAATGGGGCTCAGGGTCATCGCCCCCGGATTAGTTTAGAGGAATTATATTCATAAAAAATATATTAAAATGACTCAATACATATAGATAATATTTAATAGAGTATAAGTTTTAATCAGAATATTTTATGTTGTACTATAAACATGAAAAAATATACAAATTTACATAAAATGAAAGAATAAAAAAATATCGTGAGCCAAAATTCATATTTACAAAAATTGGTACGTTTGGGGGAGGCCACAACTCCTCTACTCCCTAAGTTCAGCTTCTTACATTAAGAAAGTCGGGGTTGTCTACGGTCCGAGAGGGTTTGTACTACTCGGTCACAAATGATTTAATCTGATGCGTAGAAAATATTTAGTAAAAAATTATATTCGTTGATTTAAAGTACGAACTAGTACGATTCAGTACGAACCTATGAATTTATAAATTAAAGTACGAACCGAGTAAAAATAGATCGTACACAGGTCGTAACCTTACATAATTAAACCAGAGAATTAAAAGTAAGGTTAACTGCACTTTGCCCCTAACTTTGGTCGTTTTTGGTCTTTGACCCCCAAGTAAAAAAAAATTCCACGATCATACCTCGACTTACTAATTTGTCGCACCGATAACTAAAAAGTCTATTTTTGACAAAAAAAAAAAAAAAAACCAATTCAACTCCAATTTCATAATTTAAACCCCAATTTAACCCAAATTTCACCAACTAACCAATTTTTGACCATAATTTCAATTTTGACCCCGCCACCACCGGAGACCGCCGGAGAACCACGGCATTAACTCTTTTTTTTTTTTTTTTTGAGAACTTTCTTTTTGTCTGAAATGTTTTTCTTGTAGGTCAACCGCGGGGTCTCCGGCTTTGACTTTTTTTTTTTTTAATTTTTTTTCTTAAAAAAAATAATTTAATTAATATTACTGTATTGACTGCTAAATTACTGTCTCCAACAGTTATTGAACTGTCGGAGAGAGTAATTTAACTGTTAATTAACATTTTTTTTTTCTTAAAAAAAATATAGTAATTAATATTACTAGCTACTAAATTACTGTCTCCAGCAGTTATTAACTATCGGAGACAGTAATTTAACTGTTAATTGACTTTTTTTTTTTTTTTTTTTTTTAATATTTTAATTTATAATACTGTCTTGACTGCTAAATTACTGTCTCCACCAGTAATTTAACTGTCGGATACAGTAATTTAACTATTAATTAACTTTTTTTTGAAATTTTATTTTTTCTTAAAAAAAATATTTTAATTAATATTATTGTTTTGGCTCAAAATTACTGTCTCCAATAGTAATTTAACTGTCTGAGATAGTAATATTACTATATTAATTAATTTTATCATCTTGGCATGCATTATTGTTGTCTTCAATTGTAATATTACTGTCTCCTACCGTAATACTACTGTCTCATGCAATAATATCAATGTTTGGGATAGTAATATTAGTAATATTACTTTTCGAAAAAATAATATTCATAATATTACTTTCCGAAATAGTAATATTATTGTCTGAAACTGTAATATTACTATATGAGACAGTAATTTAGCCGCCAAGACAGTAATATTAATTAAAATATTTTTCTCTAAGAAAAAAATTTAAAAACAAATAAGTCAACATCGGAGACCGGCGGTCAATTGCGGTTGACCGACCGAAAAAAAAACTAAGAAAAGAAAAAAAAGTCAACGCCGGAGAACCGCCCCCCCCAGTCAACGCCAGAATCTGGCCGGAAAAAAAAATTTCAGAAAAAAATTATTTTCGAAAAAAAAAATATTTTTTTCAAAAAATTATAAAAATGGGGGTTAATGTGATATATTTGTTTAAATCCAGGGTCAATATATAATATGAAGGAAGTTAGAGTATAATGGATGGAGTTGATAAAAAAGATATTATGGAGGGTATTTTAGAGTAAATACATGGGGATAAGTTTATTTGAAAGATTGTTGCTTTTGTTGACCAATGTGCATTTAAGTCCTTCGTCATATCCTTTTTTGCCATTTGCCATAATTATTAATCATTATTAATTGTTACTTAAGTTTTAGTTATAGGGGTTTTTATGTAATTTCACTTATAAGGTTTGTATCAGTGGCGGATCCAGCATAAAAACTCAGGGTATGCCGTATAGAAAAAAAAATTAAATAATAACAATGTTTCAATTACAACTCAGATTAAAAATATATTTCTAGTCCAAGCGTAAATGCATTATCCTCTTACTCATCACTTGAAAGCGCTTGATAATATCTAGATCATCGACTGTAATAAACACTTTTTTTTCCACAAATGCCGCAATCATTAAGCCATGGATTTGCCATTCGATTTCTCTACTCATTCTTCACATATTTCATGCCAGAAAATACTCGCTCAACACTTGCCGTGGCCACCGGTAATGACAAAGCTAGCTTCAAAAGTGTGTACACCAATCCAAATGTCTTGTATTTTTTTGTACGAACAAGAGTCCTACATAGATCCGATATACCCTTCAACTTAGAAAAATTATCGTCCATCTTGACACACTCAATATAAGTCTCAAGTTGGCTAGACAACTCCTTATCACTAACATCCTCAAAGTCATTTGGGTAGAATAAGGATTTAATGTCAAAATCTTGAAAAGAAGAATAAGGATTCAAACATGCTACACAATTCAACAACTCAACATTTTCCGGTGTAAATCAACCCAACTCTTTCATTACAAAATCTATGACATGTAAAAACCAATCATTCTTGAAATAATTGAGATTTGTCAAGAACGGAGCTAGTCTTTTGGATTTATTACCTTTCACATACCTTGACTCCATGTTGGACACATCAATTTCAAGATTACCACAAGAATCCACCACTTTTTTATAAAATGCTTCCGGCCCATTATATCTCATTTGTTGAAGCATTTTCTTACTTACTTGGACAAGCTGCATGGCGGTAACAATATCTTCATCTCCCTTTTGTAATGCTTGAGACAAATCATTTCTCAACGACAAAATCTCAACCATTAAGTGCAACATAAAAACAAATCCAAAAGTTTGCATGACAAATAATAAACTTTTTGGTTCACCCTTTGAATATCTATCACTTTTCAAATCTTCAAGCACTTCAATAATGGGAGTAAACAAATCAACCAACCTACTAAGAGTCCGAAAGTGAGATCCCCACCGTGTATCACCCGCTCTTGCAATAGACAACTCTTGGTTCAAGCCGATACCCGTTTCCACCAACTAATCCTCAGTTAGATTTGCAAAATGAGCAACTTATTTTTTTCGAAGCAAAGATTGTCGTTTGGTAGAAGACTGTAGAAAATTTACAATACGAGACACTTCAAGGAAAAATCAATCAACATCTTCATGCTTCCGAGCCATTGAAACAAGAGCCAATTGAAGTTGGTGAGCAAAACAATGCACATAATAGGCTTGTGGATTCTCTTTTTGAATCAAGGTTTTCAATCCACCAAATTGACCTTTCATGTTACTTGCTCCATCATATCCTTGTCCTCGAATTTTAGATATACCAATCCAAATCCCGACAACAAAGTTTCAAGAGCATCTTTAAGCGCTTTCGCACTTGTATCCTCAACATGAACAATGCCAATAAACCGTTCGACAATAAATCCTCTATCATCAATAAAACACACAACTACTGCCATTTGTTCTTTACCAGAGCAATCACCAGACTCATCAACAAGAACACTAAAGAAACCATCTCTAATTTCTTCAACTATTTTTTTAACAGTTTCAACGGCACATGCATTTGCAAGTTCTTTTTGAATAACAGGAGAAGTCATCTTACAATTTCCTCCACCACTTTTAAATGCTTCTGCTATTTTCTCATCGTTTCTCCCCAATGCTTCGATAAATTCTAGAAAATGGCCCTTATAAATAGAATTTCCCCCCTAATTATGTGTCCTAAACGCAATTCCACTTCTGACAAGAAACTTGACTGCTTCAAGTGATGCTTTTACACGAACAAGATAATCAGCTTCTGCTTTTGTACTATGCTTTACAAATGAAGACTCAATACTTTGATTTTTCTTCAGAAGATTCGCACATGCTTTGACACAATTTCTATGATGACTATTGAGTTCACCAACATGCGTATTCAACTTGTTTTTTAGATTCCAACACCTAAACCTTCAATAACAAATGCAGAATTACTAGTACCATTGTAGCATAAATAACATGGCAAACAAAACACAACTTCTTTTCTATACTATATTCCAACTAGTCATTGTCTTTATACCAACTATTATTAAAAGAACGATTCATTTTCCCAATTTTTCTAGGAGGATATTCTGTCATATTCGATATTTTAGGTCCATTTACAAGAT